TACAACAATAAAAAAAATCTGCTGTATCGGTATACAATGTCGATGTACTGTAAATTATTCCGAGTAACAAAAACCCACCAATTTTTTTTAGGCTGAGAAAAAAAATCAGTTGATAATCATAACGATAATGTATGCCGTGTTCAAATCTTAAAGAGAACATACGGCTATATTCTTACCAATACTTGATCTTTAATATGTAAATTTATATTTCAGTTTAATACATCACGTTTTCATACAGCGTAAGCTATTACATGCTCTTCATAATCCTTAGGCTTCATATTACAAGAATCACCCCACTATGTACCCGTTTATTAAATACTTGGCAATTATATATTTTTGAAAATTGAATGAAATATAAACAACTTTTTTTTTTTTTTTCTGAAGGTTGATAATAAAAAAGATTTACCGGAAAAAAAATTGAAAAAAAAACCAAAACAAAAACGGGAAAGTGATGTGAACAAGTACCATAACGATGAACCCCTTTATAATAAGATAAAATCTATATTTGAATATATTGGCAGAATATTTGTATACCGAAAGCTCTTTATATAACACAAAGTTATATTCTTTATTTTCGCTCTAACTTCACCTGAATGGTGCCCAAATTTTCACCGTCTGATCCACAGACCCTGTAGCCACAACAGGATTTGTTTTATTAAATGCAATACACGTAACAAAATGAGCATGAGCTTCCAAAGTCTTCGTGCATCGACCAGTTCTCATATCCCATATCTTCAAGGTCTTGTCATCAGATGCGCTGAGAAGATATTTGCCGCTGGGATGAAAAATTAAACCACGCACCCAATTATCATGACCGACCTAAGAACATGAAACGAATTTTTAGAATCAACATCAAATGAACAAGTATAGCATAAACATAGTGTATAAAATAACGTACCAATGTCTTCACACATTGGCCTGTCGAATCCCACACTTTGATCGTTTTATCCCTTGATCCTGTCACAATATAATGACCGGGAAGTATTTGATCTTTGGAATTAGCTTTCGGCTAGGATAAAATAAATGACTTTAATAAAGCAATGTATTTAAATAAGGTCAATTCGATAAAATATACATACATCAACAACTAGCCCTATCATTTCTCGTATATAGGGAATTGCAGCAGCAGGAGCAAAAATTGAACATTCTACAACATGATCATGACCTCTAAATTCCATTTTGCACTCTCCGGTGGTTACATCCCAAAGACGCGAAGTCTTTATATACAAGCGTCAGTTTTGTAACAATACATAGATAAATACATATACAACAACAAACCTGGTCATTTGAACTGGTAGTAATCCATTTTCCATCCTCACTTGGTGAGACCATTCGTACCCATTCCAAATGACCACTATAAGTCTTAGTACAATACCTGTTTAAAGATATATTTTATAAATTGATACCTTAAGAACTTTGATCAAAGAAGAAATTAATAAATACTTACCCTGATGACATTTCCCACAATTTAATGGTCTTATCACGAGAAGCAGATACAATAATATCACCAGATGGTAAGAATGCAACCGAAGAAACACTATGATCATGTCCATATAAAGTCTTAACACATTTATAATCGTTCTGCAAATCCCAAACTTTTATTGTCAAATCCGCAGAGCAGGAAACTAAACAAGGCAACTTTCAAATTTTAGTAGAAATACGAATTAAGATAAGAAATCAAGAATAAAATTGTAAAATAATGTATATACCTAAAAAGTTGCCTTTCGGATCAAAAGCTATATCTTGAACTGATTTAGTATGACCTTTGAGAGTACGTTCAAATTCACCAGTCTCATAATCCCAAATTTTTATAGTAGTATCTTCAGATGCAGATGCTAATACGGAAAATATTGGATGAAATGTAACGCGTGTAACTGGGTTTTTGTTACTCGGAATAATTTACAGTACATCGACATTGTATACCGATACAGCAGATTTTTTTTATTGTTGTA